AGAGAAAGGAACCCTTCTCCATTGTTGGTGGGAGTGTAGACTGGTGCAACCACTGTGGAAATCAATATGGAGATACCTCAAAACCTATTATTAGAGGTCCCATTTGACCCAACTATTCCTCTGCTTGTTATTTTCCTAAAAGAATTAAAAGAAGCATACCACAATGATATATGCACATTCGTGTTTACAGCAACACAGTTTGTAATTGCTAAAATTTTGAAATAGCCCAATTGTCCACCAAGTGGAGACTGGATAAAGAAGATTTTTTTTTTGTTTTTTTTTGTTTTTTTTAAATAAAAAGGAGTACACCTCAGCCATAAAGAATGAGAAACTAGAGACATTTATACCTAAATGGATGCACATTGAGGCCATATTCTTAATTGAAATAAATAGGACACAGATGTATAAATCCCAAATAGTTTCTCTGGTGTGAAAAACTAAAAGTGTAAATCAGGGTCAAAATGTACAATTGATTATGTCAAATAGGAAGAAAATATCTAAAGGATTAGGGGAAGTGGGAGGGGTAAGTGAAAGGAAAGAAGGTTAAAGAAAATATATGAGAAAAGAAAAACATGGAAGCAAAGTCTTTGTAAATAGGGAAGGGTGGAGGGGGTGAAGGGAGGGCAGAGGAATGGGGAAAAAAATAAGAACCAAGATACATCATGTATGGGTACAAGATCCCAATTATGAATGTAACTGCATTGTATACCTAAAATTTACAAATAAACTTAATGAAAAAAAGAAAAGATAAAAAAGATGAAAAGGTAACTATGTGAAGTGAGATATTAAGTAGCTTGATCATGGCAGTCATTTATAAAGGTATACATATGTCAAATTATACTGTACACTATAAAATACACTAGTTTTTCAATTATATCTCAATAAAGCTAGACTTTTTTAAGAAACAAAAACTAAAACATTGAAATATATGTTAAAACAAATGCATCGATATAAAAGCAGACATTTAAAATTAAAAATTCAAATAAATGATAGTAATGTGAATGTAAAACATAAAGATAGCAAACATGAGAAAATAAAATGCAGGGTTTACTCATATGTCATTTCCAATGTTAAACCAATTTTTAACCTACAAAATAAGTGATTTTTTATACTTTAACTAATTGTTAATATATTATTACAATATGGAAGCTTTCAAATTTGTTTAAAATGAATCTTCATTTGAATACACATTACTTCCTTTTACCCCTGGACCATCTTAGACCACATTCCCTCCCTTTATAGAACCTCTGCCTCCCTTTTTGCATCACATTCTGCCTTACTGCTTGCTCTTCAGCCTTCCGATCCCAATTTAATTTTCTGTTCCTCCCAGATGCCTTCACTGAACTACAAGTTCAGTTAGAAGTTTCTCTTTGCTCCCTATGCCTCTCTTGCTTCTCAGACTCTATTGATTTTTTATCGTTAGCTTCATGAGGACAGGAACTATAGCTAACTTGCTTATTTTTTTATCACTAGATTATGGTATAGGCCTGGCATAAAACAGATGTTCAAAAAGAATCTGACTTATTTAATGAATTGGCACATGTCTTAGCACAAGCAGTACCCTTATTGAGAATGTCTTCTTCCATCCCCCCCAATACTGGGGATCGAATTCAGTACCTTACATTTGCCAGGCAGGGGCAGCGTCACTGAGCTACATCCTTGGCCCTAGAATGGCCTCTTGCATCCTTGCTTACTTGTAAACTCCTGCTTACCATTTAAGCCTCAGAATCATGGATTCTTGTTTCCCTAAGGGAGTCACAGGATCCAGGTCCCTGTGACTCATATTATTCTCTTCTTCAATATCACCTTTCAGCAATGAATTTCTTGTGAGTCTCTTTGCATATCAGACTTCAAATTCTCTTATGGCAGGCCCTGTTTTTTTCTGTGATTATTGGCACCTATTACTTGATATAGCACATGTGCTCAAGTGCTTGCTAATGGTATGAGGGAGTAAAATCATAAAACTAAGTCTGATTTTCTTTTAAAGGCATACTTTTGGCTTAAGAGGATTTCAAGAGAAGAATCCTGTGCAATTTGTTCATTGGTAAGTGGCTGTAAAATGTTTTTCTTACTACGTTAAATTTTAAATTTGTGGTTCTCTTGTTTCACTGAAGCTCATGCTTCACCCACATTCTTTGTATGGATATGTTCAAGGTTCTATCACATGGAATGATCCATGTCCATACTTGTAGTATTTCAAAGAATTTTTTGAAATAAAGAAATTCATGACATCATAAATCTTTTAAACTAATTTGGAAAACAATACAATACAGCATCCTTGTGGATCTCTGAATATTTTCCAGGTTGTCCTTCAGCTCTGTGCAAAAACAAGATGACATAGACTTTCACAGGTTAACTATCAAAAGTAACTGGATCAGTGGTTCTAAACCATGGGTAATTTAGCACCCTGTGAGATTTTAGCAACCTCTGGGAGAATTTTTGATTATTACAAGTGGAGGTGTTAGTGCTAATGACTAATCTGGTGGGGGGAGAACAGGGATGCTATTAAAATTCTTACCATGCACATGACAGCTCCCTACACTGAAGAATTATTCAGTGCAATATACCTGTAGTGTGAAATAAAGATGTCACATTTCACTCAGACATACCTTCCTATTTCAGGATGGAACATAAATAACATTCAACCTACACCTAGAAGACCAGGGTACACTCTCACTCAAGTGCTCTTGCTCTTATATTTTGAAGGTTTTAATTTTTAAAGTGATATTTTAATCTTTATCTCATGGGATTATTATTATAATATGTAATTATATTATTATATAAATTCTTCTACCATATCATTCTTCTGTCATATCATTTTGCATTACCACTTCGGAGAATACTTTGGAGATAAGCAGACATTGACAAAGACCCTGGGAGATGCACATACGTACTTTTTGTTCTTCTCGCTCTACAGCTGCATTGCATTTTTCTAGTCCTGAGTTTCTCAAAAAGTCTCTGAAATAGCCAAACAGGGTTGCAATTCCATATCCCATGTATGTGGTAACCAAAGTAGGAAGAGGCGGTTCCTCGAAGGATTCAACAATAGTCTTTGCATAACAATGTGAGTTTCCATTTTGCTGAAAATACAAAAGAGAATCTAACATTAGCCTTTTTTTGTTACAAATATGCTGTAGTTAAAATTTTTTACTTTCTAGCTTTTGAGTTTTAATGAACATATTTAAGATTGCAAAAGCTGTTTGGAAAAAATTGGAAATTGAACATTGAAGAGGATTTCATGAGTATAAATTTTATTTTACAACCTCTAATGAAATGACTAAGAAAAAATTTTCAAAGATACTCAAAGCATTAGGTGAAAAGGTAATGAGGAACACAGTGTTTGCAAGGTGTCAAAATACAATCCCGTAGAACTGCTTAATCACAAACCTGGAATCATTATCTGAACCAGTTTATCAAAATACATCACAAATATTGGAAAAACCAGCCATGTGGAGCTTTTATTTTGGTGTAATAATCAATGCACAGCATCATGTATGAAAAGTTTAGCCTGAAATTAGTTTAGTTCTTATATCTAACTTCTAGTAGATATAAGAAATATCAAAATAGAGGCTCATAATAAATGATATTATGAGAAAACAATCAAATAATCCATGATGTAGAACTTTCTACATGACAATTGGCTGGGTCTTTCAGAAAGTCAATTATAAAAGAAAGGACAGGTACAGAGGGCTTAAAAGAAAATATAAGCAAATGTAGTGTGTGTTCCTTCATTGGATTACTCAAATTACTATTTTTATGAAAAAAAGCTGGTGAAAAAGATATATTTTACACAATTGTGCAAATCCAAATATGGACTATAAATATATCTTATTAAGAATCATTAATTTTTTCAGGAAAGAATAATACTCTAGTTATATATATATAATCCTTATAGATGCAGGCTGACATATTAAATGATAGAGTAATGACAGCTGTAATTTTTCCTTCAAATGGTTTACTCAAATTGCATATATACATGAACATACTCTAAGAAAATGTTAATGATTGAATCTAGATGGAGGTCATATGGGTTTTATACTATGTTTCTACTTTTTGTTTCCAATTTAATAAATATTTAAAAGCTTTTTTCCTCTTTTTTAAAGGTATCAACATTCCAGTGGAAAGTAGATTTTTAGTAGCAAATATTCTGATTATTTTTTAATTGATTTACACATAGCTCCATTAATATTTGCTCAATGGATTAGTAAATAAATTATTGCTAATGCTGATATTTAATTAATACATTTAATAAATTAAAGCATAAACATTTATGGATTCATTCATTATTTCTTTCAATCAATAAATGTCCATTTGTGGATTCTTCCTTTCCCAATGAAATGATCCATAAAAAGTGTTTCAATCACTTGGATTATGCAGCTTCTAGTTATGTGCAAGAAAGTGTTAAATGTACACTAACATTTAATGTATTAATTTAATGTATTTGTCATTTATTTAATTTTGGCTCATGGCTTTAGCGCTTTCAGTCCATGACTGGCTGGTTCCAGAAACATCATGTCAGAAAGGAAAGGTGGAACAAAGTTGCTTAGTTCATGGTGGACAAGAAACTGAGCACAGGGGAAGAAAGCCAGTAAGAGATGTCCCCTCCAGAGGCACCCTTCTAGTGACCTGCCTCTTTTTAACTCAGCCCCACCTCCTAATAGGACATTCAGCTGTGAATATCAGTGGATGAATCCACTGGTGAGTATAATGGCCCTATGACCCAATCACCACTCCAGAGTCTCTTAATACAGTCAAGTTGATAATTAAACTTAACTGTCACATTTAGCTTACATATATATTCAGAATAATGTATTATACTAAGTCATGTTAATTAGATATATGTTTTTGGCTATTCTCATAGTCTCTGTTATTACCACAACCAACACAGTCTTCCAGAGCATGCTGTCATTTCCTTTATATTTTCTGGGATGCAGTATTTCTTGAGATCTTAATGTGATTTATTTCCCTGAAGTTTTTTTTCCCAAGTCACAAAATAGATGAATAAAATATGATAGGTGAATATTTTGATCTTTATATTACTTGTTCTTAAAGAAAAATGCAGAGGACCCCACCTAGCCTGGCAATCACCACCAGAGTCAAACTACCAACTTCTAGCTGGCTCTTTACCTTGGTTCTCCTTTGTGCATAGTGGCAGAGTGACAGTCAAACAACTGACCAAATTGAGGATGACACTTGGAGGAGAGTTCCACTCCAGGACTGAAGTTTTACCCTACCATAGAGACCAGGTGAGAGACAGCTATAGAAGGCAGGCTCAGAAAGAGTGAGGGCTAGACATAGAGCCCCCAAAACCCTCTGAAAATCTCAAGCTTGGTCCAGGATGATCACAGGTGTGGTACAAGGCTAGATTTGGTGGGTGTAACCCTCAGAGAGGGCTGGATTTTAAGGTGATAGAATTGGAGTCCAATAGGCTGCTTGAGCTCCTGTAACACTGCCTATATCCAGCAGAGACTGATTTTACTGGAGGTAAAAATTGCCTAAGTGTCTATACTAAAATCATAGATCTCTTTGATTTGATTAAAGGTTGTTCATGAGCAGTTCTTAGAATCTGTCAGTATCTAGTTTATATTTTCTGACTTTACCAATATGGCCAAGGTGACATAGTTATTACTGTCAATTGGTTTTCTGTGTATGGTAATATCTGGATTGCCAGGGCATCATAAACAATACCGTGGTCCATTCCCAAAGAATCAGGTACTGGACCAAAAAATCTGCAACCTCTTCTCCCAAATAAACAGTGGTAGCTGGATCCTGGGACATAAGCAAAGGCCACACCCATAGGATATCACTGAAACAGAGCTACCATTATAGACAAACAGCAAACACCAGCACAGAAAACAGAAAAGAAAACCCAGAAATATGAGAAGACAAGGAAACAGAAGACCCCCCCCCCATCCTCAAAGACCCCCAATTTCCCCAAAGCTAATTCAGGAGGCATTGAGGGAGAGGAAATCAAAAGCCACACAACAGAAATATCTGAAAGGATATCAGTGCAAGTAACAAAATAGATGAATAAGATGCTTAGTGAATCCAAAGAAGATACAACTAAACAGATAATGATCCTAATGAAACAAATGATCAGCACGTCTAGAGAACACATTAATAAAAACCTAGCAGAGCTAAAAAACGACATGCAAAACATAAATGCCCAGTATAAAAAAGAATGGGAGTCCATAAACAAGTTCCAAACAGAAATCCAGGAAATTAAAAATATGATTGAAAGCATGGGGCATAGAAGCAACCAATGTGAGTACAGAGTGTCAGATCTAGAAGACAGGGCTAAAGTTGGTGATTAATTCATGAGAGATACTTTAAAAACAAGTGAACATGACAAATGGATCCAATAGCTGCTATATGATACAAAGAAGACTAATCTAAGAGTAATTGAAGTTAGTGAAAAATCAGAAGAAAGCACAAAGGGTATAAAAAACCTATTTACAGAAGTAATGGCAGAAAACTTTTCAGGCATGGAAAAAGAATTTAACATACAGATAAATAAGCAATATAGAGCCCCATATAGTTGTGATGAGTAAAAACTATTCCATGCCACATCATAATTAAAGAACCAGAAGTCCAACACAAGAACAGAATTTTAAAAACTATTAAAAGCAACAGATCACTCATAATAGAAAACCCACCAGAATTACAGACTTCTTAACACAATTGTAGACTTCTCAACACAAATCCTAAAGGTAAGGAGAGCTGGAACGAAGTTTTTCAAGGCCTAAAAGAAAACTACTTCCAATCCTGACTCATATGTCTTCCAAAATTATCTTTCAAAATTGGTGAAGTAAGATATTTACATGATAAAGAGCACCAAAAACAATTAATAACCAACAAAATAATACTGTGAAAAATTCTTAGGGATATCCTAAAGAAAGACAATGAACCTAGCAATACCAAAAGGTCCAACAGGAGAATGCACCATGTAAGGCAAAAAATTAAGAAGAAGGGAACTGCCAAGTCAGTTCTGGCAGAGTGCAGTGAGAAACCGAGCACAACCTGCTTCCCCAGGGTCCTCCAGGTCCTCCCGCTGATGGCAGTGGGTGACCTGGGGGGCCTGAGGATGGGCCACACCTCTGCTCTGCAGCCTCTTTGATTCCTTCCTGTGACTGCCCACTAGCTGGGCCCAGGCTTTGAAGAACAGGCAAACTGCTCTTCTACTCCACTTTGATGACCTGATGGTGGCGGTGGCCTTGGAGCCAGAACCCCTCAGACCGAAGGGTCTCCCAGTCCAGCCTTGCTGGCCTAGGCAAAGCCCCCTCCAGCAGTCGAGGATGTGGTGCCCTGCAGCAGCTGCAGTGAGGTCTGGTGAGAAGAATGGCGGCCTGCGGACCGCAGCAGAATGCCCTTACATCAAGGGCTGGAGAAGGCAGGTCGGAAAGCTCAGCCACTTCTGGCCATAGAACTGCGCAGATCCAGGTACTGAGGTGACTGTTGTGTTCCAGTTGTGGAGGATCTGCACCTCCTTGCGACGAGGACGAATGAAGGCCTCATTGCCCTGGAAGGTTAGGGAGCTCAGGCACAGGACAGGTGGAAAGGCTGGTGGGCCATGAGCAGTTGCCAAAGAGAGAAACTTAAAGTACCATTCCACGTTTGGCTAATTGGAAGTGCCTACCACCTTTTGGGAAGATTTACTGACAGTTTTCAGAAGGCCTGTGTATATAATATGAAAAAGCTGCTCTCAACATTCCCCCAGCCTTTTAAAAGAAAACTTGCTGCATGTGGACAATATAGATGTAAAGAAGTTGCCGATATGTGATGAAGTAGTTAGAAAAACCACATGTCTTGGAAACGCCCATTTATTTTAAAAAATGACAGAAAAGAAACGCTTTCTGAAAGTGACTTTGAAATGAAGTTGGGTAGACCACCTGAATCACTAGAAGTGATTCTTGTCTGCATTTGTTCTGTGAGTTAGAGGACTTGGAGAAGACAGAAAAGAAGAATGTCCAGTACGAGACAGGTTACATGTAGAAGACGTTGCTTGGATTGTAACCAGTGTTTTGTGTGTGCATTTTAGTCCTCATTAGTATATATATAATTGACAATGCTAAGTACTTTG